GTGTCAGCCTCATGGACAGAAACTGGAAGTTGGTTCCACAAGAGAGGAGCCTGAAAACTGAAAGATCTGCCTCCCATTCTGTTTTTGTAAACTCTAGGAACCACAAGTAAACCTGCAGTCTGAGAGCAAAGTGCTCTGTTAGGAAAATATGGAACAATAAGATCTGTAATATAAGATGGAGCTAGGTTGTTGAGAGCTTTGTAGGTTAGAAGATTGTGAATTCAGATCTATAGCTTAGGTAGAGTTCACAGCAGAAACACAACTCAAAGTTTGAACAAGTCATAAGGACTTTATACAGTTTCTCTATCAATAGGCACATGTCTCCTTTCATTCGGTGTGTCTCTTATTACTAAACTATTTCTCAAATCCCCCCAGAGTGCAGAGCGCACTCATCCAAACTTTCATCCACTTTGATTGTATCTGAGCACAGAATTTACTCTTCAAAAGTGAAAGGGTGTTAAAAGTCATACACAAAACACTGAAGACAAATAAAACAATGAAAGGCCTAGCATTCACAGAAGGACCACTTCACTGTCACCATCATCATCATCATCTAGATCATCTTGTGATGATAAACGATAATTATAGCTAATTTGATCAGACCTTGAAAAACCCATAAAACATTATGTACAATCTCATGGGATATTGTAATGTCTCATGTGATCTCAGAGTATTTGCTGTGCACGACTCTCAGCTACTACCACAACTTTTATTAGCTCAATCTCTGTAAAATTCACTTAGTCATAGCAATTTATGTGCAGGCTAAGATCAGTTAGCTGCAGTGGCCATCTTGAATTAGATTGTCTCTTAAAGTATTCCATTGAATATATTCTCAGAGTTTCCAATGGTTTGTTTGAAGCTCAATTTTTAGTCTGCTTTTCTGCCTGTCTAGTTTTCTCAGGGAGTGAGAGACGTGGGTGTAGTTAACATAATGAGCCGCTGGCAGCGGATATAACATTTATTTTGTCTCTCTTTGATTTCTTCTCCAGTTTATGCATCAAAACGAGACATTTTGTCAGATTGGTATAAAACTGAGCAACAGATTATTGTTGGGCTTTAGGGAAGTTCACACAAAATTAAAGTTTTGTACGTTTAACTTGCAAGAATCTAAAACAATTACTCAGGGGGCCACAGATACTGAAAGCCAAAAGCTCAGGGGCTGGACATCCAGAAATTATTGTCATTGATTGTTTATTTTATGGTTTAAAATCTAGTTTTAGTTAACAATGAACCCATTGGTCCGAACCGAGTTCACCCGTGGGCCAGTTGAGACTGACAGAAATGTTAACTTGAAGATCCACCAAGAACTGTTGGGCTCCCAGCATCGTGCGTTTTTTCATTTATTTTTGTGCACGTTCCTTTTATGTGCAGCTATTTCAGGACATCAGGCTTTCATTTCTGTCCAACCGCTGCAAGAACGCTGCCGTCACACTGCTCACTTGTTTTCATAACGATTTCATGAGCATGTGACTGAGTGGGTGACAGAATAACTGAGGAAATAAGCCTGCAGGCTTCAAACAAAGAGAAAAAAATATGTGTGCATTTATATATATATATATATATGTATATATATATTTTTTTTTCACACATTCCCGACACCAAGAGGCCGCCCTGACAAGTGGCCTGCCAGCGTCTTCAAGAAAACAACCCGTAATTTTCATGTCGAACTGTAGAATCACTTCCTGCAGGTCGCCAGTCCTAAAGACACGGTCTCCCTGGTTACCCTGTTGCCACGGAGACGGCTGGGGCAGGATGGGTTGTTGCTTCAGGATGACACAGACGGGCCGAGGTATCAGAGGTGCTGCGCTGGAAAAGGCCAAGAGCGTCAGAAAGAAGATTAACTCCTGCTCAGTTTACAGACTCACAGTCTTCTTTATGTTTTACAGGCTGTTAAATAAAACACAGATCTTATTTTTATTACGCATAGCTCGCGTTTATAGTTTGAACATGATGAATTGATGTCCTGGGTACTAATTAGCTAAATAAACTTTAAACTTTGCAGAGATTACATCGACTTTTACTTGACAGAACGTTGCATGCAGCAAAGACCGATCAGCGTTAAACTGGAGAAACTTGTTCTGTGGAAATCAAATGTGAACGCCGACAGCTGAAATGAGCCAATAAAGCTTGAACAGAGTGGGTAAAGCTAACAGAAACAGAACTAGAGGAAGCCTTAGCTATCATCTTAAGGATGAAAAACTCCAGCACCACAGCTAAATGAAGCACAAGATTAAATAAAGGGAGCACTAGTTAAAACAAGAAAAATGTAAGCTAAAGCAAAACAGCAGCTAAAACCTAAAAGTAGCTAAAACCTAGTTGAAAAGACCACAAGCTAAAAACGAAAAGAAGCAAAGTGTCAGTTAAAGCTAAACATAGCAAAATGCCAGCTACAAGTAGCAGAACACTAAAAGATAAAAGTTTCAAAGTGCTGGCTAAAAATAGCAAAACACTAGCTAAAAATTCAAAGTAGCACAAGACAAGCTAAAAAAAAAGAGCTCTAGTTAGCGGAATAAGTAAAGTACTAGCTAAAGCAGAAAGTAGCAAAAGGCTAGTATAAAATTGCAAGCAACAAGTAGCAAAAGGCTGGCTAAAAGTAGAAGAATGGTAAGCTAAAAGTAGTGGAACACGAAAAGATAAATGCTTCAAAGTGCTGGCTAAAAATAGCAAAATACTAGCTAAAATCTCAAAGTAGCACAAGAGTTCAAGCTAAAAACTAAAGAAGCAAAAGGCTAGTTTAAAATCTAAACAACAAACTGCTAGCAACAAGTAGCAAAAGGCTGGCTAAAAGTAGAAGAATGGTAGCTAAAAGCTAAAAGTAGTGGAACACGAAAAGATAAACGTTTCAAAGTGTCAGCTAAAAATAGCAAAATACTAGCTATAATCTCAAAGTGCACAAGACAAGCTAAAAAGTTAATGCTAAAAGCTAGAAGGAAAAGGCTAGTTTAAAATGTAACAACTTGCTAGCAACAAATCTGGTCTTCAGGTCTCTTGTAAATGAGTCCCTGAGGCTCAATGGGATTAACCTGTCGAAATAAAGGTTGAATGAAAAAAAAAAAAAAAAAGGCTGGCTAAAAGTAGAAGAACAGTAGCTAAAGGCTAAAAGTAGCAGAGCAATAACTAAATGCCAAAATAAGCTAATGATTAGCTAAAAGTAGCAAAAGGAAACATAAAAGTAATAAAATGCTAATAGTAGCAGAACAGTAGCTACAAGCATCATAAGAAGATAAAAACAGAGCCAATAAGCTGAAGCAGGTTTAAAAAGAACTAAGTTTTATTTAAGGAACTGAAGAAATCTCGATGTGTTTTTATGGGGAAACATCTTTAAATAAAGTTTAATGTTTTGAAAAGTATAAGCTACAAAAAACAAAAAGTATATTTATTTTTGCATTTTAAATGATGCTTCAAACAGAAGGCCTATTTTTAGCCCAGCACACATCTCTGACCTGATTCTGTCAAGGCAGCTGAGCGGTACCGGTGAGCTCGGTGTCAGACTGCTCTGAGACATCATGCCCAGGTCTCCTGAGTGGGTCACCCCACTCAGCCTGCGTGTACGGCCGTGGGGAGTGTTCATCCTGCAGAGCGTGCTGCTGCTGCACCGCCATCTGCTGGCCACTTGCAGCCAGAAGCTCTGCGAGGATCAGCAGAACCTTTGCCCTGTTTACTTCTCCCTCATATCTCTCACGCTCTGTTTACTCCTCCAGGATCAAATCAACAGATTCACAGAACAATTGCCCAACAGCTTTCAAAGAATTAACGCAACGCAAAGACGTTCCAGCACAACAACTACTTTTGGCATCGCATTTATTTACAAAATGTACTGAACTTGTGACAACATCTGAGTTTGGACCCCCCCACAGCCAGATGAGCTGCCTCAGGGAGTGTGGAATGATGAGTAAAGTGCCCCCGAGTCTGTGACGGGTGTCTCAAACGAGTAAAGTGCAACATAAAGTGTCTTTTTCCTCTGGTTGTGTAAAGGCTTTAGCTTGTGTTTCCGTGTCTTTCTACAGCTTCTTCCCTTCGGTCCAGGTGAGGAGCCGAAGGACCGTCTGGTTGAAGTCCTCTGGTTGGTCTGCGAACACGTAATGACCCGCTCCTCTGATCACCTGACGAGGACAAACACGCAGAAATTGACGTTTTGGGGAAAAAAGGACATCTCTGACACTTTTATCTGTCAGTGGCTGTAGACGTGAAAAACACGATAATTCTTTACCACCTCAAAGTACACGAAGAGAAGTTCTGAGGTTTAGGTTAATATCTGTAAAACTGACTGAGTCAGAGCCAAACTGTGGCTACGGCAGCCATCTTGGATCAGGCCGACCCCAAAAGTTGATGGTTCCATTAAAACTTGCCCGCTGGATCATGAGCTATTTTTGCAAACAGACCGACATAAACACACAGAGAAATTAGCAAAAACATAAAAACAATGGACTCACAATGATTTCTATGTCCGGTCGGATCTTTTTGAACGCGTATCCAGAGTTGCTGTCGATGCTGGATCGAGATCCGTAAATGAAGGAAATAGGAATGTCGGCGCAGACGCGGTCGACCCGCTCCAGCATCGGCCTCTTCGCCCAGCCGTAGGGAACGGTCATGTTCTTGAACGCCGTCTCTCCGCTGAAACCAAGAAGAACCATTGGCGGGCCTGGACGAGGAGCTAAGACAGAAGGAACCTGCAGCTGGAAGCTCACCTGGGAGTCTGAGCGTTCAGGTGGTAGATGTAGTCGGACACGGTGTTGTCGTCAAACACAGAGGAGTACTTCTGCTTGAAATCGGACCTGATGGTCTGGACCAGCATCGGACCTGAAGACACAGTTATACAAATGACTTTTGATTCTTATAAAACCTTAAGCAGAGATATGGAAACAAAAACTATATGTTTATTAATAAAAGAGTTGCGAAAGGTCTTGTTTTCTGAAAGCTTGTATGTTGAAACCCCACAAATCACAGAGACCAGATGTTTGTATATTTCACGTTGCACCTCGGACTACCTGCACATGCCGGTCTTAACATGCTGTTTTTTACTCTTTTCTACTAAAAGTTGTTGTTTGGGGCGTGTGAAAACTGCTTATTACTTAAAAAATTACAAATGTTATTACATTTTTTTAACCTAATTACGTCTTTATTTTTATGGTGCAGTGCATTCTGGGATGATGACGTCCATCAGTTGTAGTGGAGACCAAAACACAAGGAGTCAAGAATAAAAAAATCCAGACATGACAATAAAATTATACTACAAATGGTAAATGACTGTACTTATATATCACCTTTGTATCTTATCAAGACACTCACAGCTCTTTACAACACCATCTGTGACCTCATTTACCTCCACACATTCATACAGCACTCAAAGACTAACCAGAGCTTTATCACATTCATACGCTCATGGGACACACATCGGAGGCAGTGAGGGCTTCAGTGTCTTGCCCAGGGACACTTCAGCATGTGACTGCTGGCGGACTCGAACCCCCAACTCTCCCATTGGAGGACGACCACTCTAACCACTCAGCCACAGCTGCAACAAATCAAACTGAATATAGCTGCACAGGATCAGCATGTCTACATTGTTTACCCAAAATGCATTGCAGAACAAACAAAATGTCCACGTGTCAGTAATTTTCAAAATGATAAAGACTAAACTGTCAACAGTATTCTTAGTCTCATTTTATGGCTGAAGTAACTGTTGATCAAATACGGTCTACTGCTCCAGCTGGTCAGAGATCCCTTTAAACATTTGAATGTGCAGAGAACAGGAAGAGCTGAAATGACGTACCTGTAAACAACAACACACCTTTACTGCATCGACACCTCACAGGAAACGCTGAGGCAGTGCATTAAAGGCGAATTTTCCCTCATGGCTCTTTGGTTTGTTGTCATTTCCTAGCAACAATAACATGAAGTAGCTGTCTTCTGCTGACATCATCACATAATTTTAAATAATTAGAGTCCACTTTTAAAAACTCTCAAGGTTTAGCCACAAGGTTTGAAGCTTTTAGAGGTCTAAACTTTGACGGGATCATTGAAGTTCTTTAATCGCGTTTCTTTTGGTTGTAGATTTAACGGTCCATTTGATCTTCAGCCGTCAGACAGAGCAGTTCCTGAATGACTCCAAGGTGTCCAGGTTCTGTGGCTATTAAAGCCCAGATCATCAGCCCTGCACCACCGTGCTGACAGCTGGTACGAGGCGCTTGTGCTGATGTGCCGTGTTTGGGTTTCTCTGTCTATTACAGACGGGCGTCTTCTTGTTGTTGTCCGTCTGAACACGGCTCCACAAGTCCTGCTCTTTGTTCAGATGCAGCTGAGCAAACCTGTGCTTCCATGTTCTTCACAGGAAGCAGAGACGTTCTCCTGTCAGCCTTCCCAAACAAGCCTTACCTGGATAAATATGAGAGTATGGTTCAAAATCACTTCCTTGAGGCACATCATCTAAGCTGCTGAGGGCTGAGATGGAGCGCGGTGTCTTCTGCAGTTTGAACGTTGCACTCTGTCCTGGAGCTGAACTCACTGGGACCTCTGGTTCTGACAAGATGTTTTCCTAAATGCACACTCTCACTGGAGAACGGTGAACCAAGGATTGTTTGGAAGAACTATTTTTAACCCTTCCCTGACTGATGAACTGTAAAAACAAATGCTCCTTGTTCTAACTCTGACCAAGTAAAAACTTGATCCAAACAGCACAAACCAGTACTTTCAGACGGCTTGTCACAACTCAGCTTTGGTTAAAACTCCTCAACGGAACAAAGTCCTGTACAGTACAATACAATAAGTGCACAAGTAATTAAATAACACTTGGAATAAAGATAAATAATTAAACCACGAGGATCGACACTTGGCACAAATCACAGGTAGCGAAAGCCGAAGAATAAACATGAGTTTCAAGCGAGGATTTAAAAGCAGAGGATGCTGTCTGATGTTTTTTATTTCGGCTGCTCTTCTTCAGCACAGTGAACCAACTCACACGAAGACTTGGATTGTTTTTACGCTGGATGTCCTTCCTGACACCACAGACGCTGAGCTACCACAGCCTGTGTGGAGCAGAGAGCTGCTGTCTAGGGCGCCTGGGGGAGCAGATGGTGGGGGTTAAGTGCCTTGCTCAAGGGCCCAGAGTGAGGAAAATGAGGGTGGAGACAGATGTTTCACCTTTCCCACACACGGTTTGATGTTGTCCATCTGGGGGATCAAACCGGCGACCTTCAGATCACAGCTCTAACCTCTGCACCACCACTCCCCCTGGATGCCTGTCTAATTTTGTGGCACTATTTGTAGAGCAGCTGATCAGCAGACCTGAGAGAACGGGCAGGTGTGTGAGGATGTAATGGCTCAGAAAGATGAGGGGCCAAAGCATTTAAAGATTCAAAAACAAAAGATTCTTAAAATGGACTGACCACCAGCAACATGCAGAGCGTTACAGTGGTCCAGCCGAGTCGGAACGGAGGCGTGGGTCGCTGCTTCAAACAGCTGCTGGGATAAGACGGGCCTTATGCTGGCCAGCTGCCTCCAATGAAAGAAACTAGATTTTACAGCTGATTTTATCGGACAGCCGAATCTAAGATTGCCATCAAGTTTGACGCCTAAATTAGTGACAGCTGGTTTGATGACCTGGGCGAGGGAACCAAGACGTAAAGAGGAGGAAGCTGTAGCGTTACTAAAAAACAAGATATAATACACAAGAGTCAAATAAGGGTGTGGCAGACAGGACGTCCTTTAACTAAACAACAACTGTTGTCTGAGCTAGTCATGAGAACACTGATTCAGCTTTAACACCGTTGTTTTGATTTTCCTGTACATTTGTTGCAGCTACTGCTGCGTACTTTGTGCTGTGAGCCGCTCAGACAGGACAACGCTCAACTCACTCAGGACATGGCTGCTGTCGTTTGTAACTTTGATACTTTTTACAAACATTTTCCCCATTAGGATCTCTTCAGTGCCTTCAAAACATTTTCTTTATAAAACCAGTTTCGGCATTCGTTTTGTTTTTGTTAAGCTACTTATAGCTAGCTTTTTGCTACTTTTAATTTATTGCTAGTCTTTTGCCACTTTTAGCTTTGAGCTAGCTTTTGTCAACATTTAGCCTTTTGTCATTTTAAGCTTCTAGTTAGTGCTTTGCTTCTTTTAGCTGGTATTTTGCTGCTTTGTTTGCTAAGCTTTTGCTACTTTTACCTTTAAGATAGCTTTTAGCTTGTTTGCTGGCACTTTTAGCTAGTCGTTTTTATACTTTCAGCTAGCAATGTGCTGCTTTTAGCTAGTATTCTGCTTCTTTTAGTTTTTAAGCTTGTGTTGCGTTTTGTTTTTATTTTTAGCTAGTGTTCTGCTTCTTTTAGTTTTTAGCTTGTGTTGCATTTTGTTTTTATTTTTAGCTAGTGTTCTGCTTCCTTGAGCTTTAATACCTCAGTGTGAACTTTTTTAGTGAATTTTAGCTGCCATTTAGCTCTCAGCGAACACTACCTTTTCACAGAAAATGCCATTTTTCTATTTACAAAATGCACTTTGTGTAAAGATAGGTTTGTGTGCGTGTGTTCTGACCCAAAGGCCCGGCCAGCCTGAGACCAGCCAGAGGGTTGAAGGGGCTCATGATGGCTCCGATGGCTCTGATCCACACGGGGATGGAGTGATGGTTGGGGTTCTCTGGGCGTTCTGGGAATCCCCACGGCTCCACCAGCAGAAGATGTTTCACTCTGCAGACACACAAACGTTCATAGAGTAACTTGATAAAACATCACCGTTAAACACACAGACAACTTGTTACATGCCCGCACAGTCCAAAAGCACCTGCTGGGATACTTGAGCGTGTAGGCCGCAGACAGATATCCTCCAAGGTTGTGTCCCAGCAGCACCATCTCCTGCAGGCCCACCTTCTCCCTCCACTCCTCCAGGGCTTCCACAAACTGCTCCTCAGCTCCCTCAGGGTCGGTGCTGAACAGCGGGCGGCTGCTCCTGCCGAAGCCCAGCAAGTCTAGAGCGTAAACGGGCCCGCAGCTGGACAGAGTGTCCAGGTTCTGGGCCCAGAGGGCAACCCCGCCTCCGAAGCCGTGCAGCAGAACCAAAGGAGTCCTGGGCTGGGCAGGAGGCTGTGGGAGAAACTGAGACGATGAGTGGAGCTGAGTGGAGAACGCTATGGTCCACAGGTAGTTGTCGTTCGATATGCGGATGTGCTGCCTGGAGTAGGGCCGCCTCACAGCTGAACCAAGGGGATAAATGAACAGAAAGTGGATAAAAGAGGGAGAAAGGGCTGTGAAAAGGATTTAATTTAACACTTTGAAACCATTAAAGTTAGAAAGAAATACTTTTTTTGTGCAACACGAATACTACTGATGATAGTTGCTGAACATTTACGCTCCTAAACACAACTCGTCTTACTCTTGAGCATTTTCTCCTCTGCATCTTTGAGCTGAGACGGAGAAGTGGGGCACCAAGAGGGAAGCCAGTTTGATATCCAGGAACTGAAGACAGGACAACATGCACAAACAAAACCACACATTGAACTTTGATCATGTCTTGTTATCACTTCCGCTGGTATCTCTGGTCAGGAAAGAAACTTGACGACATCAGGCAAACAATACAGTGGATCACAGAAAGCTCGGAAACCTTGTTCTGTTTATCTGGGGCTCCTGTACAGTGATAAAGAATCAAAGTTTGGTTTTGACTTACTCTTAAAATCATATTCAGTGGGTAAAACTAACTCAAGCATTTACAAAAAACTCTACTGCTCAATTTGGTACACCCCTAATGTTATGAACAACAGTATTTTATCCACAAATAAAGCATCTGAAGCATAAAAACCTATCAGATTAACTATTAAAATTTAAATAAAGTCAATTATTTTAAGTAGAGTTCAATGTAGGGGATCAAATTCTACGCCGAATTAAATCAGAGGTACTACCTGAAAAAAACATGTCTTTAAATTAAGTCGGAAGTGTTAAATAAACCCGAGTTTACGATTTGTTACAGTTTTAACCTAAGTTTGTACAAGAGTTCGGTTCAAGCTGCTGAACTGCAGGAGTTCAGCCGAGCGAGTTCAAAACAAAAATACATGAGTGTTGGTCGAATAACTTTCTGGCATCACAACACATTCACGTTAAAGGCTTCTGAATATTACCAGAACAAACAGTTTACCTTTGCTCATGGCGAGGTTGAATCTCCTCCGCCATCCTCCTCATGATGCACTGATAGTCTGACGAGTTTCGAGCTCGTGAAAGTAAAAGAAATCAACAAGCATGAAAAATGTCACGGTGCTGCGTTCAGGGACACACCGTATAATAATGACTGTAACCTTTGAAACCGGCACTTCTAATTAATTCTTCGTATTTTTAATTGTAATTTTAGAATTTGTTTTTTTATTACTAATTGTTTTAAAGCAATGTTTGTTTTGAGAGCTTAGCCAAATATCTAAGGGAAATAAACACTCACGCTAAACAAAAGCTCGAGTCTCTGAACTCGAAACTGACGTTTGACCAAATGTAAATTGTTTGTTCAACTGTACCTGAAGGCAGCAGTGTTTCAACCGTCCGCAGTTATTTGTCCAAAAAACAATTTATTTTTACAACAACAAAAAAGAAACTACAGCTCTCCAACTTTCTTACTTTACTTTAATAAGATTCGTTCAACAAAGGTAATTATATTTAAAATTAAGACGTTTCTACAAATTAAGACGTAGTTAAAAGAAAATGTCATTGTTTTCTTGAGATAATCAATGCTAGCATCTGTTAGCATGTTTAAGCTAGCTGACTAAAATAGGCTATATTATGTACATTAACAAATATTATGTTTATTTATATTTTACACACAGTATGAGCATGTTTTGTTGGCTTATCAAACTACAAACCCTTATAAAATGTGGTCAAGAGGACTTTAATCCTATAATTTTATAGACACTTTTCAAAATACTTACCTTTAATAATTTACAGAAATTATCTTACATAGAGATTTTTCTCAAAATCTTTCTAAAACATTGTTCTTTTTCTGTGTATCTGATCGCTGTGTGTTGTCTTGATCTCTTTTTTTTTAGGTTTCACAGTTTTGCTAGTTTTAGACAGCTTTTTGCTACTTTTACCTGCCAATGTTTTGCTGTTTTCAGAATCAGAACATTTTATCCTAAAATGTTTTGTACTTTTACACTCCAAGAACTTTTGCTCATGCCAGGATTTTTTGCTGGACACCAGTACTTGCAGAACAACACACAGATGACAACAAATGGATAAAAACATGACACGATGAAGCTGCTGGATGATGTCTGAAAGTGTGGTTAAAACATGTTGCCTCTGAATGTCCAGCTGACCAAACCTGGGACATGATAGAAATGGAGAAATGTACATACTGAGCTGGAGTTAAATGATTAAAGACAGCCCAATGCTAGCTGATTTTTAAGCTAGCATTTCAGAACTTTGAGCAAGCATTTTACTATTTTTGGATAACGTGTGGCTACTTATAGCTTTTAGCAAGCATTTAATAGCTTGTAGCTAATGATTTGCATATTTGAGCTTTGTTTGGCATTTTAGTTAGCATTTAGCTACTTTTTGCTTTTACCTAAGGGTGGTGGCGCAGAGGTTGGAGAAGGCGAGCCTGTGATCGGGTAGTTGTTGGTTCAAATCCCCCTGGCCACCACATCAAAATGTTGGTGGGAGAGGTGGAGCACCCATACCCGCCTCCACCCTCATTTACACTGGGCCCTTGAACAAGACCCTTAGCTCCCATTTGCTCGCCCTAGATGGCAGCTCTCTGCTCCACACGTGTTGGTGTTGTAGCTCAGTGGTCTGTGGTTGTGTCAGGAAGGGAATCTGACATAAACTCAACTGTCAAGACCTCGTGCAAGTTTGCTCGCTGTGGTGACCCCTCACAGCGTTTGGCTACTTTTGTCTTTTTAGTTAGTGTTCTGCTCCTTTTAGGTAATATTTGCTATTTCAGCTCATTTTCAACTTCAGCAACTTTCAGCCATCTTTCAGCTCTGTGTTTACTACATCTTGACAAAACAGTTTTACTGTTCAGAGCTACACAACATGCACTGGCAAAAACTTTCCGTACAGACGTTGTGTCAAAAATGTGTGTTTTTATGTTTTGTGTTTTATGTTCAATGGCAAAAGGAGGAAAAAAAGATTTTTGCTTTCTTCCAAGAAATGTAAAGACTATAATAACTGACAGCTCACTTAAACCTTTTAGGCCTTCTCTTATCTTTTCTCCTTTTTTAATTTAAGATAAGACAGAGATTAAATGCAAAGTTAATTTAATTCACTATCCTCCAGCACTCGAGTACACAGTATGATTAAGATGCCATAGAAAATTCACCTTTCTGATCTCACCTCTCTCATTATTTAACTTCTGCTTTTGCATGAATCTCATTAAGTCTTGGTGGTGGTGGTGGTGGTGGTGGGGTTATCTTATAGATTTATAGACGTGTTATCCTTGAGAAGCTCAGGAGTATCCTTCAAGAAATAATTCTGGTCAGGTGTGCTGAGTTGACATTTAGGAGTAATTTGTGTCTTTTTGAGACCTCAGAATGTGGATGACACCTAATCCCTCCAGCAGGATGCGATGGGGTTGGATTTAGTTTACAATAATCTATAGTTACACAGTAACACTACAGATGCTGTGAAAACTCTGATCCATGATAGAAGTGAATAAGGTTGATCTTTCTGGTAAAAAGTCACGTTTTGTAGGAAAATGTTGTACCCTGGAACTCATGTATCATAAAGACTCGTTTGGCAGAACAATTAGTCCTGAGCACTGCAAGACCAACAAGAACTATTCCTAAATGACAGGACTGCCAGAAAATACTTGATTTAACCCCGGGCCTTAGTGTCAGTGTCATGAGCTACTTGAACATTCAAGCAGGTGGTTTGAATGTTGTGTGCGATGGGGGTTATTATGCAAGACAGACGAGTTCTGCTTGTATTTTCATTCTTTATGTTGTCATTTTTCCATCTCCTAATCAGAAAAAATCCTCAACCCTTCCTGCTTTTGTCCATTTTTGCTTGTCATCTCTGTTCCACAAGGTGGCGTAGCTGTTCCCCAACCATTGGCAGATCTTCTCTCTCTACTTTTTATTTGTCTAACAGTTTTCCCCTCACACCACCCACCTCTAGTGGCTCTCAGACCATAGCTTGACTGAGTGGTTCCTGAGTGCTTCACTTCCTTTTCTCCCACTTCTCGCTGTCCGATCACTCTGCTGAGTGCTCAGAATTTCAGCAGACGGCGAGGCTTTGGCCATGCCCATGGATGAGCAGAGGGAGTGCAAGGCTCTGGCTGTCAGGAGACCAATAACTGAGTGAAGCTTTTAGTGAGGAGACAGCATAAATCTGCAACATAAAGCCAGCGTCCTTATCGTTTCTCTCAACTAAAAGCTAATCATGCTAGCCAGAGGTTATCCATATCATACAGGGATCAAAATCAGTAACTCGTGGTCTGGCAGCAAATTAACTTTAAATTATCTGTTGAGTCTTATTGGTCCTGAGACAATCAGGAGGACATTTCACTAAACAAGCGAAGCCATTACAATCTAGTTTAAATTATCAGATGTCTGGATTGTTGTGCCCTGGAGTGAAGCTCGGGTTGGCTTAACCAGATAAATAGCTTAATTTTTATCTAGTTCTGCCACTTTGAGCTTTTAGCTACTGTTCAGCTACTTTTACATTGCATTTTGACAGGAAAAAGCAAAATATGTGTCTCATATTTGGTAACAGGAAGTCATCAATTCTAAAATGGTGTTTCAGTCAATTCATAGGCATCTGAGCAGATTATTACATGATGTAGTGTCTGTCAGCAGGCCACACCTTGAGCTGGCTGCCTGCTCCTCCTGCTAAAGGGCTTCACGTCAGACTGCAGGGAAACTTGTGCACACAGCCCTTTCAGGTCACCCGCAGATTTTCTATCAAATTTAGGTCTAGACTCTGGCAACGTTGTTCCAAAACATTAATTTTCTTCTTTTGTTGATTTGGATGTGTGCTTGGGGTCATTGCCACTTTGAAAAATGAATTTCGTCAGCTTTCTAGCAGCAGGCTGAACGTGTTGAGCCAGAAGAAAGTGGTGTTTGGAGCGTTTCATTATTTCATCCACCTTGACTTTGCTAATTTTTTCTAGGCCTGGGTGCTTTTTTGTTTTTTTGCAAGAAAAGGCTTCAAGACACATGAAGAAAGCAAGAACCTGTCACATCTAGTACACAACCAGTACCTGTCAGAAAGTCCTGCAGCTCCTTCAGTGTGGTGTAGGCCTCTTGGCAGCCTCTCTGACCCGGTTCAGTTTCATCTTTTCAACAATTCTGCAGGAACGTCCAGTTCTTCAGAATGTTCTTGTTCCATAAATTCTGCACTTCTCAATGGCTATCCTTTCCTGGGGAGACATGATGCTGAGGAAAGTTTTGGTGCCCCTCCACAGACAGGACTAAAGTTCTGTTCTTGGTTTATTGTGTCACTTTTGAATATCACAAAATCTGGCGCCTGTACAGGCTGTGTAAGCTTTTTATATTTGATGTTTTTGTTTTATGACTTAATTCTTCTGTATTCTGTATCCGACAAATTTGGGACATTGTGTAAAATGTAAATAAAAATTGAATTACCTAAACTTTCTCTCTTTCGGCTGCTCACTTGTGCAGGGAACTCACAAACGATTTGGTATAGAAAAGGTTTGACACCAGATTCCCATCCTGATGCAACCTGCAGTCTTTTAAAGTTATTAGAAAGTCTCCCATATTGTATTCACAATAAAACATAGTAAATAAATCACATGCTTAAACTTTTTATTTATTTATTTTTTTAATACTATTTTTGAAAAATAGATAAATGCATCTCAAAAAGTTGGGACAGGAAAAACAAAGCCCAACAATGAGTTGTACAAATACGAAACAGCTGAAGGAGCATTTTACAACTAACTGGGCTAATTGGCAACATGTCAGTGAGAGGACTGGGGGATTAAAAACAATATTTTATCTTATACAGGCTAAATCTGTCAGAAGGAAAGATGGGCAGAGGTTCACCTGTTAACAATAAAACAAAAACTGTGTCTGAAAATAGTGAAAGAATTTCAGAATAATATTCCCCAACAGAACATTTAGAAGACTTTGAATACCTTGTTATCCGTTCATCCATTATCTTTACCCACGTCTTCCTTTTTGGGTCACGGGGTTCACTGGTGCCCATGTCCAGCAGTCATTGTATGAGAGGTGGGAGACACCCTGGACAGGTCTCTAGTCCATCACAGGGACACACAAACAACCATTCTCTCTCTCTCACCT